TTACAGAAGGAACTTGCAGAAGCAAGGAAACATGTCGAGAGAAAGCCTCGGCCCAGCCCGACGACTGTGACAGTAGCTAAGGAAAATATTCGAGGTGGACGCGAAGTTTGAACATTCTTCTTGAGTCACTTCGAGTAGGGTCGGAATTTGGAGGCCACCTCTGCAACTGGAAGCACTGAAAGCTTCTATTGCATCTTCCGACTCCTCCGCTCTGCTGATCGGTGTGTTAGTGATAGCCTGTCGAAGAGCGCACTACTTGGAGAGAGCCCTCACGTCGTTTACTGAGAACCGTCCTGATGGTGGGTAAGGTCCCGGGTTCTATCCTCGGTTGAGATATTTTTAGCATCTCAACTACCGATTGTCGTGTCCCAGGATGGATACGATCCTGGAGTGCGAGACCTCCTGGAGAGCTCAAGATGGGCCTCGGTCGTGTGGGTGCTCACGATTGTCGGTAACGCATGGATCAGTCAGATATAGTATGCGACATGAACAAGGGAATGGTAATGGTTACGAGAAGCTAGCACAACACTATGGCTGGGCCCTCGGAAGAATGTTTGAGTATCTTGGCTTCAAGCAGGTAAGATACACATGATGTCCGCTGAATGCCACTTACCTCTGCGTGCTTGATTGAATAACGAGGCCTCCAGTACAGCATAGATACGAAACTGTTGAAAGTAGCATCATAACAACAATACGAATTGATTGCGCTGCGCTTGCAACTCGTCATTCGTTTATCTGATCCCGTGGCGTTGTCTTTTTTCCATGGCTTGCCTATCAAACCTGAACGCACTGTAGGTCATCATCCTTGAGGAGGACATGGAAATCGCGCCTGATTTTTTCAACTACTTCCTAGCAACTTCGACTCTCATCAACGCAGACCCTAAACTCTACTGTGTGAGTGCCTGGAATGACAACGGCTACGGCTCATCAGTTGATGACGCCGAAATGGTGTAAAACTGACCCGCGTCGTTATCCTATGGTAGTGTTCGCTCTGGTAGATACCGTAGTGAGTTCTTCCCGGGTCTCGGATGGATGCTGACTGCAGATTTGTGGAATGAAGTGAAATCCCGATGGCCTTCTGGGTATGCCCATGTACGTCATTCACATTGGTATGTGTATCTTCTCAGCTACTGGGATGAGTTTATGCGGCGACCTGATGTTCGTAAGGGTAGACACTGTCTTAGACCGGAGATAAGCCGGTGGGACATGTCCCCACCTTGTTGGTGCCTTCAATTAGATCGACTTCATTTCAGGGAAGCTCTATACAAATGAGAACTCAATAAAGTTTATTCTTCTGTGTGATGAATTTTCCGGAGATTATTCTTGAACCAGCCAGTCAGATTTTTGTCGCGAGGCATGTTATGCCTCGGTGATGGAGCTCCGAATAAACTATGTTATACCATACCATTACCAATTTTAGATCGTACACGTTTGGTGAGGAAGGACAATCGCAAGGGCAGTACTTCGCAGCACATCTCTCACGAATAAAACTCAACACTGAGCTCATTGATTTCATATCGAATGCTCCTCGCCTGCTCCACCACGTCCGGAATGAGGAACTCTTCGATCAATGGCTTATTAATCAAGTGAGAACTCTTTGGATCAGGCTTAGAGGTTGGCTGAACTTCAGGGTGGGGAAATGTGCAAATGCTTAATTACACGTGTTCGTGGCAATTTGAGAACTCAGAGGATATGTTCGTCGAAATTATAATTGGTTTTTGTACGCTTCTACCCGAATTTGTATAATGGATGAGAAAACTCCTATAGTGAACACTGCGGAGAGTGAACATATACTCAAACACTGCTTGGTACATGACCTTCAGATGACCACATGCGTGCAAGTGACTCTGATGAGCCTCGACGGTGAGCTGTCCTCGAGTGCGGGGAGATGCTTCCGTATTGAATACAGAGATAGCATGTAAGCAACTCATCGAAAGTCCAGTGTTTACCGAGAGT